TTTGAAAAATGGTCATATCAATGCTTATTCTTCCCACAAATATAAATTAGATGTAAGAATTCAGACTTCCACCTTCAGTTTCCTCTGTGCAAAAAATGAAGTTTATTTTCTACCTATGGGGACTTTTTACTATCTTTAATTTTCCCTGAGCCTGAGGAAGGATGTATGTACCCAAAAGCTTGCAGAAAAAGATACTCTTTTGTGATTTCTTAGTGGTCTAATAAAAAGTATCATCTCTGAACCAAGAGTTCTATAGTTTTGTATTTATTTTTGTCTCAGACCAACATGGCTACAAATACATCCCTTGACTTTCTATGGCAGACAAGGTTCTTTGGGTAAATCCAATATCTTTTATTAGACCAACTCAGATAGTTGAGAAAATTCTTCTTAGCAATTGGTTTCATCTCAATTTACATTTTAACTGACTGGATTTCTTGCATATGTACTGGCCTCTAGATGCTTTACCACTCCATCCAGGAAGAGCACAGACCATCTGCAGACTCTTCCTCAGCCTGACAAAGGGTGTTTGTGCCTGAAAGCATGCCAAGAAATTTTTTTCCAACTCTCTGAGTTGGTCTAATAAAAGATATTGGATTTACCCAAAGAACCTTGTCTGCCTATGTCCTTAGACCAACATGGCTACAACATACACCCCTGACTTTCTATTAGATTTGGGCCTCAGTCCCAGTTATTTTGAAAACTTAATCGCAACACTCCCCTAGAAAGATTCTCTCCAGTGCCCACTGAAATAAAAAAGTTAAGGCTCCCATCTACTTCAAAGGGCTTTGAATCAGGCACTAAATAAGAACTACTTTCAAAATGTAAAGTTACAAGGAACAGTATCTGTTGGACAACTGCCAGCCTACATCCATGTGCTGAGTGGGCTGCTGTCGTCTTCTGTTTACCATGGAGGTTTACTTCACATACAGGATAAATTGGACATATTAAAGTGATTTAGTCCACAATTATTCTTCTTGAATAACAAAAACAACTCCTTTAGCTTTATAACTTATTTCCTAGATCAGAATCAGGAAGAATGATGTTCATTTATTCATGTGAGCCATGAACAAAACATAACGTTCATACAAAATGAATCTGATGATTGCAACAAGACCTCCTTTTTTCTCCTCCCTTCAGTCTTAATCCTCCAAGGTACAAGCACTTTGGCCCTAATCCACCATAACACTTAAAGCATATTCTTAGTTTTAAATCCTTTGGATGAACCATTTGTGTACTGTAAAGTTCAGTATATGATTAAGTGCTTTTCTGGATCATGGCAAAAAGTATTGCACAACTGAGTCACTAGGACCTAATATAGATTTCAGTTGTGTCAATGGAAACACTTCCATTGCCCCAGTAGGTTTTGGATTAGATCATTATACAGAGACTTATCTTCCTGACTGAGGCAGCTGTTGTGACAGTACAGTATGTGGTTATTATGCTGTAACCACTGTGCCCAAATGCTTCCATCCTTTTGCCACTAGGAATCTGTGTTAGTGCCATCAGCACTTTAAATCATTGTTATCGTGGTTTTGGACTTGTCAAATGGTTTGTGTGCATCACCAGAAAATATACACCTATTTTTTATTGCACAATAGGTTTCATGTTGCAGGCATGAAATGCAATGAAACAATACTGTAAAGCATGGAAGTTCAAAATACAGTCCAGGCCATCCTTTCTCTGTAAAGGAAGAGGACCTACGCATCAACTGGAGATTTTTAGTGCTGGTAAATTCATAAAGGAAAGTAATAATACTTGCACTTTCTGGTGTCTTCATTTTGAAAGGCATATTATATTTCATGTTTGGAGGGTTAAACTAACTAGAGATTGGGATGAGACTTCACCTAATGCTGAGTTGTCACAACTTCCTAAAAAGCATCTGATGCTGGTCAGTATTAAAATTGGGTATAAGCAGGTCACTCCCCCAGTTTCCATCTCTAAGCCAGTTCACTCTACATTCAGGATTTCCAGCAACCTCTCCCCACAGTAAACAAAAAAACAAACCAAAACCAGCTGCCTTCCTTCAGATTTTGAGAGGGACAACCCAAGCACTGTATCTCTCCTTCAGCACCACAGCCTCCTGTTCTCCCTTTTACTGTACTTCTGGAGAGTTTAACCCTCCTTGTAGCTTCACCCTCACTTTCCAGTCACCAGTTGCAGCTGTATCCCAGCCTCCCAGCTAGTCAGACTAATAACTGCTAACTATTGGGGGTGTGCGAAGCGGGCCCTATTCAATTCGGATTTGGATGTGGCCCGAATCGGACAGTGATTTGATTTATTGATTCGGATCATTGTCCCTGATTTGACTCAGCCAAATCTGAATCTGAAGATTCAGTGCTGATTTGGAGAATCAGCAATTCGGACACAGACACAGCTTTAAAAGTTTTTTTCTACATAACTTGAGGTAGCAGGTGTGGCTCGGAAACACTGCAATGCTGGGGTGCATGGACTGTCCCACAGGAGTGCGGGGGGGGGGCCTCCATGTGCTGGGTGGCAAACCTGGAAGTGAACTGGAAGTACTCCCGGTCCACTTCTGGGTCTGCCGGGGAGCGTGTAGGTCCCTCCCACCCCCCCTGCACCTCCAGGCTCAGTGATCAGCCGCAGGGGGACCCCGGGTGTCCCCTCAAGACCCAGGAGGCATCAGTTGCCGAGCCAGGGGGTGCAGCACGCTCCCTTGCGGACCTGGAAGGAGACAAGAAGTGCTTCTGGTCCATTTCTGGGTCTGCTGCTGAGCGCACTGGGGAGCCCCCCTTGCTTCATGCACTCAATGCACCCCAACATCACAGCACTCACAAGCTGCCTGCTACCTAGAAGTATGTAGAAAAAACATTTAAAACTGTCTCTATGTCTGAATCTCCAAATCTTTCCGAATCTCTCTGAATTGATTCAGAGAGTTTAAAGGGTCCTCTGATTCTATTTGGAATCAGAGTTTCGGCCACCGAATTGGGCAGAATCTATGTCGAATCAAATCAGGGACCGAAGCTTCACACAGCCCTACTAACTATCTGCGGCTGACTTTCATTCCTCCTTACAATGGCACATTAACCTAGATGGAAACTAGTTCAGATCCAGTCTGCAAATACTTGTGTTCCATCAAAGGTTCTAGGAAGGCCTGAGATATATTAAAGCCTTAGGCCACCTAAAAACCTCATATTACCAACAGGTAAAGTGAGACACAGAAATCTCCTTTCTGTCACCTTTATTCAGACTGAGCAACCAAAACTTCTCAAATAGCTCCATTCTTCCAGTTGCTACCTCCACAATTCATGTAAGATGCTAAAGTCAGCCCCCAAAAAGAGCTAGTGGCAGAGACAGACATCTAGCCAAATAATATGACACCAGTACCAAGTTTTTGCCTCTGCCTTATAACAAACATCATTTATCTATTTATCGGTTAAGTCCATGAGCTGCCTAAATGCACAGAAACTTTCAGCCCCACTATTTACTTTGTAATGTAAAGATACGCCATTTAACTACATAAACACTGGGGCTTCCAGCAGCAAATCTTGAGACTGCTATTAGAAGTATTGAAAATAAGAGGCCAAAACAGCCCTGACACTAACCCCAGCCATTTTCAAGGCGTCTAATAGTGGAACTGCTTCTGCGTTAGAAATGCCTAGAGCTGGTCAATATTACAATACCACTGCACTGTCAGCAGCTGAGACGAGTTATTCTGTACTTAATGAGCATTACTTACATTAACTTCAGGCAAGTGCATAAACATGGGAGTATCACTGACATGGAGTAAACTGTAAGTTTAAGAAAATGTATGAAAATATATACATAAATTCTTGTTCTTGTGTTCCTAGAAAGTAGCAAATGCAACCTTGTCCTGATCTTAAGTAATTGCGCTTAGATAGCTATGTGACTCTTACACCTGATGACTAATGCTTTCTATTTTATTTTATTTGGGCCTTGTTACAACTTATACTGTGAGCCACACAAATGCTAATCAGTTTAGTGCTAGCTTGGAGTTTGGAGTAGTCACACCTTAAGGCTAAAAACCTTTTTGGACTGTCTCCCACCTGCACAGCTGTGACTTGCCACTAGAGGCCTGGTGCCCAGGACCAGCTTCTATCCCTGTTCTATGAGCAGGGGTGTGAGAGAGAGGTTTGGAGGGGGAGTGGGGGGCATGTTATTTGTCAAATGTCACCTGCCTCCCCCAGACCTAGTACAGGTGCAGGCAACATGCTGGTAGCTTGCCTCAAGGCTGTACCTCCCCCTCCTCCTCCTCCCTCGCCCGCACCTCTGCTCCCATCAGTTATGACATGGAACTGCCTCTTCTGCCCAGCCTGACAAGGCACTAACAACACCATCACTGCCTGGCCTGAAAGCATTGCACCATGCCACCCCACTGGTTTCCTCCCAGAAATGTCACCTGCCTCCCAGCATACTAGTGGCTTGCCACAATGAGGCAGTGCCTCCCCCTTCCTCCCCTCCCCCCACTGGGGCTGCTAAATCCTCCCACCAGCCATGGCATGGTGGTGTGAGAGGAAACCAGCAGGGTGGTCAGTGAGGGAGCTGTCAGCACCTCACCAGGCAGGGCAGCAGTGCCAGAGCTCCCCCCATGCAGCGCCCTCTGTATCCTTGCTGCCACCTCATGCAGCCTTCATCAGTCTCTTGTGCTGGGCCATGCTCTGCCCACCCCACAGCAGCATCCTGGCACACCAGCTCCAGCTTTCCATGCCTTAGGCCCCATCACTCTCCGCTGGCCCTGACCTGCCTCAAGTGGTCGCCATCTTCAGCTGTGTGCAGAAACACTACGTGGAGGAGAGGCCACTGCATCCAGTCCTTCAGTATCCTGGGATACCAGAGGACTTCATTTTGAGCAGTACAGCTGCAGGGAGTGGCCACACCTTAATGGAACAGGAGCATGGATATGCAGATCAGAGATGATCCTGCGCTGGAGTAGTGTAACTCTGAGTCGTATGAGTGCTTTAAGCCATTTAACCCCTGGATTGGCCTCACTTTAACACCTTTAAAAGCTTCAGAAGCTGCCTAAAATGACAATATAACAAGGCCCTTTGTCTTTACTGAGCAAATCTAAGGTAATGAACCCAAGAAGCTAGAGAAACAATTGAGGCTCTTTGTTATGCTGCACTATAGTTAGAGACTAATTGTTCCCTGGGAGAAGGGAGGTTTTCATCAATTAGTGGATTTGTTCCCTGTTGACTAAAAGAAAAAAAATGTTGATATTAAGGAATTAAAAACAGTATACACAAGAAGTCCCCAACATGTATCCCTACCACTATTTTGAGTGCATGGTAGCTACAATGCTTTTTGCAAGTTATAATACCAAAACAAATACAACGGTCAATGTAAGCCCTTGTTTCCTTGGTGTGCGACCTAATTTGCCTGGAAATCTTCTTTATGGTTTTTGATGTTTAAACACAATTATTTACATAGAAAATAATTCTAAAGCCTAACTGACAGGAGAAAGTATCTGGAAATTTGAGGCACAGAAATTTTCCAACTACAAAAATTTACTAGAATCTGTTACAGCCACGACCTGCCCTAGTCAATGTTTAAGATGGGGAAGGGTCCAGGAACTGAATGTAGGTGTTACTTTAATAAAATTGGGAATGCAGAAGTACAGGATGAACACTACAGTGAATGAAACTTTGCAGAGGCACAGAGAATGCAGGACTCAGACAATATGTTGTATTTAAAACAGATGGGTGTGGGTGTGTGGGGTGAGGGGGATGACAAAGTAACTGTTGGGATAAAGCAGTTATAACCATTAAAATCCCACAAGACTGGACTGTTTGGGGAAGATCTGTGCCCATTGGTATGTCCTCAAGTCTCTTAGTCTCACCTCTCTTTATCAGACAAGTATCATCCAGTCACTGTACCCAATCCTTGAAATACTTTCAGACTTTCTTAGGGCTATGGTTTCTGAAAGGTTAACTTCCAAACCCCACTATGAGTTTAATATCATCCTATTTTTTAGCTCTAGAAGATGAAGACTGTGGCTTTCTTCATTTGCCTTGTGGGATCATCTTTTGCTATCCCGGTAAGTCCTCATCATTCTAGTCCTAGTATGCATTTCAATGTTCAAATATGCATTTGAGATCACTAGTTTCTGCAGTATCCCCATGACCTGTTTAAGATTTTGTTTATACACAAATTTTAACCCCATTTTCTATTTTCTAGACCTATCCCTTAATGTACAAACTTGGAATCCGTGGACAGAAAAATACAGAAAAGGTATTTTCATTATTTAATCACCATACCATAATATGCAATACTGAGCTCTAACATATGACACGTCTGTATTTGTCTGCAAGTTCATGTAAGTAAGAAAATAGATTTAATTTGATTCTTATGTGAATTATTGTGAAACTCCATGCAATGAACATGTCATTGAGCCAGTGATGAAAAAAAGACCACAAGTATGAAGCAGAAAGATCATAAGATCTCTAATCCCTCTGGAGAAATTCTCAGAATTCATTTGTATATTTAAGCATAATTCTAATATTATAAAAGCCTTAGTCAGTCTGTCTGTCTGTCCGTAATGCTTTATTTGCACTCTGATTGATTGGTTGTCTGAAACAATCAATCAGAGTGCTTCAAGAGCATTCCAGACAGGAGGTGGTGGCGGCAGCACAGGGTGCTGGCCAAGAGGGGCAGAGGGGATGGCAGGGTATGGTTCCCCTCCCCACACCGCTCTTGGGAGATAGTGGCGGCACGGGGTGGTGGGTGGCAGTGCTGTCCCCAACCCATCATTCCTGATGGGCAATTGGCTAGTATAATTGGCTGTATAATTATTCTAGGAAATAAATGATCAAACCAGTGATCAGCAGGGATCCTAGTTGTTTCCTCTGTTTAAAACTCACAAATTCTCTGATAAGAATCCCAAATTCTCTGATTAAAAAACCCAAAATCCACTTTTTTCCATGATTAAAATGAAACACCACTATATATATAGATATCAGTTGAACACAATGTTTTATTGATATTTTTACAATTTAAAAGCAATTTGGAAGCCTACCAGTGCCTCAATCATTATAATAATATAAATTATAAATACCTATATATTTTGGCATTTGATTTTGGGTTTTTTTATCATAGAACATCAGAGCCACCCCTGCCCCTTCATTCACCAGGATGTAGGTCCAGCTGTGACTGCCACTGCCCCCCCACCCCGCCCCGCCCTGCTTTGTGGCACTGAGCAGCCCTGATATGCTGGTTCCCTGTCCCTGCCCATGCCAGTGCCCCTCACTCCTGACCCACAGCCTTCTGGCCCTGCTGATGCCCGTCACTCCCAACCCACAGCCACCCATCCCCTGGTCCTGCCTGGGCTCCTTATTCCCAACCCACAGCCCCCTGGCCCTGCCGATGCCCATCACTCCCAACCCACAGCTGCCCATCCACCCAGCTCTACTGGTGCCCATCACTCCCCACCCATAGCCCACCCCGCCAGCCCTGCTGGTGCCCCTGACTCATAATCCATAGCCCCCTGTCCCTCCCAGCCCTGCCAGAGGCGAGGCCCAGCTGCCAGGGATATGGGACTAGGGAACAGGGCCACGGTCCGCAGCCCCTGCCCCCCCAGTAGTGCCCAAGCCCTGGCTGCCATCTGAGGGAGGTGGTGTCTGCTGCGGCTGAAGCGGAGCATGGAGACAGGCTCCTCCTCTCCCCCAGCAAACAGCATGGCCAGAGCAGAGCCCATGGGAGAGAGCAGATGCAGGCTTCCCACTGCGGGCTCAGGGCTCCCTGCCCTGCTGCCCTTCCCCCAGGGGCCTCCACAGCCCAGTGAGTAGGACTCAGTGCAGGAGGGTGAAGAGGCTCAGTGCCACCACTGAGAGCCCCACACCAGCCATGCCGCCATGGCAAGGTGCCCCCTGCCCACCTGGCAGCAGTGAAGGTGGCAGTGCAGAGGGGGCACCTTACCATGACAGTGTGGCCGGTGTGGGGCTCCCAGTGGTGGCACTGACCTGGCCCACCTTGCTCCGCCCTCCCATGTCAGGTCCCACTCACTCTGCTGTGGAGTCCTTGGGGAAAGAGCAGCAGGGCAGGGAGCCCTGAGCCCACAGCCCCCACCCTGCACACACATCTGAAGGTACATGCCCCCCCTATGCTCCCCACCCAGAAGCAGAAGATCCAGCACACAGAAGCAGGGATCCAGCCACCCATCAGCCCCTGGACAAGCCACCCACAGCTTCATCCTGCTTTCCAGCCAGGCCCTGCAGCCAGTCATTCTTGCCCTAGACCCAGGTCCCATGCACCACCCTAGCTGGGTAGTGCCACTCCTGCCCCACTTCCTCCCTCCCTCCCTCCCTCCCTCACCTTGGGGGCCTCAATCTGCCCTTACCACCCCATAGACTTATCTGGAGGGGAGCTGCAGGAGCTGCTCTCTATGGTGTCTGGCTGCTACGTGCATGTGCGTACGCACAGATGCATGTGGCGCCCCCTACCTTATTGCCCTTCTCCCACTCCCGCCAGCCCCAAGCAGCCCCTTGCAAGCTGGAACTCTGCCAGCTGGAACTCTGCCAGCCTGCAAGGGGAAACCTGCTGTTTCCTGCATTTTTTTTCCTTTAAGGGAGAAAATCCACCTTTTTCTCCTTAAAAGCAGGGAAATCTGCATTTTTCCACATTTTCCCATGGTGAATGGAAAACCCAGATCCCTGGTGGTCAGATACCAGCCACTTTATCCATATTCCATTAGCAAGACAGGGGAGATTTTGTCCCAGTGTTGATTGTTCACCGTAAGCAACCCCATAGTTCAGATTCTCAAACACATTGTTAACAGTTGCTGTAATTTTGGTCGAAGAGCTTTTATTGAACAATGTCTAATCTGAAGAAAGGTAGAACACAGCTCTTGAGCCAGATCCTCAGCTGGATGGTTGACTTGAACGGACCTATGCCAGTTCAAATCAATTGAGGACATGCTCCATGCTTTCATGTGTAGTGATGGACCCAAGTCAAACCGTTCATTTCTACTCTCCTCCCCCTATGCTCCCAACTTGAACTTTGGTGGTTAAAATAAAACACAGTCTGGATCATAGATAACTGGTGAAGCTGTATACAAACAAAACCCAGCCAGTGCTTTATAGAAGAAAGTGAAAAATCAAGTCTCTTTTCACTACCTCTTGGCATGAAAAGTTATATACTGTGCCTACCAGCTCTTAAGGTAAGTTACAGGGCATTGTATATTGAGAGCTGCCTTATTCTAGATGCTATCAGAGGCTTTTTTTAATAAGCCCTGTTATTGCAAAGTTAAAGTATCCATCAGAACATTTTAAAATACAACAAATTATTTTTTCAGACAGATTTCAGAATGATTCTAGATAATTCGCACCCGACAGCCATCTCCCAGAAACAACACATGGAGAAGACATCTGCAGTAAGACAAAATGATGCAGTATTGATGATGGATGATCCACCAGTTGCAAATAAACATGAAACATTTATAGAAAGCCACTTATCTAATAGTAGCCCATTACAGGTAAATTGCTTAAAGTGGTTATATGTTGGCATGTTAAGTTGTCAAACAGTTTAAGTTTTCAAAAGAAGATTGAAAGTTAACCAGATCACAAATGTACAACTGCCTTTATGGAGAGTAAATATTGGATACTAAAATGTTTTTTAATTTAGTGAAAATGGCAGAAGAAGAACCAATGTTTGGACACTTAAGTCAGGCTCATTGGAAATAAGCCATAAAGTTTTAATAGTGCGGGTGCTCAGTGATTGGAACACACTTTTAGAATATGTGGAGGATTCTCCATTTCTTGATGTCTTCAGCTCAAGATCAGATGTCTTTCTGAAAGATATTCTTTAGCCAAACATGTTTGGCTCAATAAAATTGTAACGAGTAAAACCTAAGGGGCTATGATAAGCAGGAGGAAACTCAAACTCTAGGAAAATATGAATCGATATAATAAAAAGCTTCCCATAATGCTTCTTTAAAAAATGCAAAGTCAAAAATATAAGTGTTGTAATTACTAATGTGCAAAAACAGTTAATGACAGCATTAAAAATTGTAGCAGTTCAATCTTGAGATATTTTCAATATACAAATTTTGCTTTTCACTTTTGCAACCCTTTCCAACTAAAATGTGCAAATATATATTCAGATTTAATTTTCAGTTTGTAATGTTTGACTCAAATTAGTATTATATTTGAGTGAAAATGGACTTGCTTTCCACCAATAAAAAATTAGGATTGTAAATGTCAATCAGGATATTTAGTGCAGACTCTGTTGTTTCAGAGGAAATACTGAATAAGAAGGAAATGCTTATACATTGTTTTGATCTCACTTGACATTTTAATCATGTTTTTACTCTGGAAAAGAGAAGACCAAAATGGGATTTGATAACAGTCTTCAAGTACCTGAAAGGCGATTACAGGGAGGATGAAGATAGGTTTTCTTCTGTGGCTGTAGGAGACGGGACTAGGAACAATGGCCTCAAAATACAGTAGGGGAAATTTAGGTTGCAAATTAGGAGGAACTTTCTGACGATGTGAAGCACTAGAACAGGCTATCTAATGAAACTGTGGAATCTCCATCTTCAGGAGCTTTCAAGAGCAGGTTAGACAGATACTTGGCTGGGACGGTTTAGTCAAGGATGCTTTGAACTCATGAGGTCCCTTCCAGCACTACGTTTCTATGATCCTATGACCTTACAAATGTAATACACAGATGGCAAGCATAGTACCAACTAAATATTTTTAATCTTGTTATATCTGGGTCCATTCCAAAGTGGTAGTGATCCTTATTCACATTGACAGGAAAGTTTTACCAATATTTTAAGCACCCATCCAAATGAGTAATCCCACTGGAAGTTCTAAGTGTAATTAGGGTCAAGTACTCTGCTTTTAATTAGTGACAAGAGAAACAAATAGCCTGCAGGTCTGTTCAGAAAAACATCAAGATTCCTGAACATTCCCTGGCTTCTCATAGTTTTCTATCAGCCACTGACTGCACAATGATAACAGAAGGGGGTTTCCTATTACACGGTTGATAACTGGGACTAACAGCCATCTTAAATCTCCCCTCATGACCACTCAGCTTCTTCCTTTTCCCTAAGTGTTATGTGATAGGAGATAGGTGGGATTTTTAAACTATACTTGTTTTCATCTTAAACAAGTTCCAATGCTGTCTCCGTTTAGTGGAAAGCAGAAGCCTCGGATAGGTAGGCTAATTTTAACTCAGCTATTAGGCCCACTCCCCAGTTCAAAACTTTGGCTCCCAAATATACTTAGCTCTTTTCCTTTTAGGGCTTGAACCTTTTTCAATGACATCAACAGTTTTACCGCTGACTTTACTGGGTAAAGGATAAGCCCCCGGTGTACCCTGTGATGCCCACTACTGGGTTTTTTTTTCCCATCGTGTTATTGTTGATATCAAATGAAATAGGATTCCTGTTAACTGAGCCAGGAACCACAATAGGAGACCGATAGGCTGATCCTGAAATAAGAATGGGAATCATTGTGATAATACTTATCAGTAATTAAATACTTGGCTAAGCAACATTCTGAGTGTCTAAATGTTTAGACCAGGCTTGTCCAACATACGGCCCACGGGCCACCATGTGACCCGCCAAGCCATTTTCTAAGGCCCGAGGTGCTGAGACGGGAAACGAAAGTAAACACTGTTTACTTTCGTTCCCACCCCTTGTCCCTCCCCCAGTCCCTTAGCAGCTTCCTGATGGCAGGGTGGGGGGGTCCTTTGGCCGGCCTACTAGGTGATAAAAAGTTCATGATCCGGCCCCACATTCAAAAAGGTTGGAAATCTCTGGTTTAGACTCTAAACACTCTGAGTCTGAAGTTTGTTCCAAAAAAAAAAATCAAAAGCTGTGGATGTTTTCCCAACTTTCCTCTTTTCTCATTGCTAACACAATATTTATTTTCTGGGGTAACTAATACTTACTGAAGCCAATGTTTTTAATTCCAGCTGCCAAAAGTTAGGTACCTACATCAATATTTGATACTTACACTGAGATTCCAAAAAAGACTAATTGAGTTATAGCCATTCAACTCCTAACAAATTATGATACAAATTGCACAGCTAATCCTATGAAAATTGTTTGGAAATTCCAGCCCTAAATAAATGTACATTCATTGTAAGACCTCTTGCCCATCCACAAACTTCACTGACTCCACAAATCATTCCATCTCCATACAGGGATGAATTTCATCCTGTGTACTGACCAAGTGAAAAGAGTATATTATATAGCAACTTGGAAATGCAGTTGTAAAACAAACTATTTATTAGTCTGTTCAATAAATCTGCATTTTTATTTGGAAGGTTCAAGATTCTTCTTCTGAAACTTCAGAGAGGGAACACTCAGAGCCTGAGCTGTATTTGAACAAGGACAGTCTGCTCCCACTTCAAGGTAGTCATGAGAAGGAGGAGCAGGTATTGATGGTGTCTGGTGAACCGAAGATGGAGCACAGGACTGTTAAAAGACAGGAAAGAAGCAGTAACAAACATCACAGGAAAAGTGGTCTAGAGAGTATTAGTTTACAGCATATTGGTCCAACCTTGGCTTCTGACATTCAGTGGAGTGATTTTGTGCATACCATGAGCAGCAAACAATCCAGCAGTGAAAATTTTCAATTTGGGAAGGAGAAGAAGTATAGCAACATAGCTAGTCACCAAGATCAGGATGGTGAGGAAAATCCAGAGGAGGATTTCACTCTTGTTCAAGAGCAAGATGCATGGAAATACAATAAAAAGAGAGTTGCTGTATCAGAAAACAACAGTGAAAGTGATGAAGACATGGAGCAGGAGGCAACAGCAGAAGAGTGGGGTGAAATTGGCTATATAGACAGGGGCCAGAAAACTCATCTGATAATTCAAGAAGACCACTATAAGAACAAGCAAAACAATGATAACAGGCAATCTGATGAAACTCTCAGAGATTCCAGCCAGCCCTTCCAAATCACCAAGAGGCAGGATGATGGTCAAGAAGAGGAGGAGGAGAATATGCAAGCAAGAGAGGAGGCAACTGTCTCATCAAGAAGTACTAAACAAGATCAGAACATTGAATGGCAAGGCCAGAAGGCTGAAGAAAGGCTCCAAGATGGTAACCAGAATACTACTAAGCCTGAGGAAGTGGTAAGGAGAAAGTATATGGAGGACCAAAGTATTGGTAACAGCAACAATAATGATAATGCTGATAACAATTCTGATGCTGGTGGCAACACTGATGATTTTAACCAAAGCCAGAAAGGACCAGCCTATCAGGAGAGTGAAAGAATTCAAAGTAATGATCATGGAAGTATCAGTGCTGAGCAGCAGAGGGGGAGAGAGGAAGAAGACGACAGTGTAGTTATTAATGAAACTGACAATAACCAACATATTGACATTAAACACTTAATTAATGTTGAGCAAGATTATTATAGCCATGAGCCAGCCAATTCTGACAGTGAGGAGCATGCAAAAATAGCCAGCCTTCTGCAGAATGCAAACACAATGGAATCTGAAGACAATGTAAGTGCCTTAAAAAAAAAAAAAGGGGGAGATAAAAAACCCAAAGTTGTACTCAAACTTAAAGCATAGCAGTAGGCTGTATCTTACATGTGGCCCTCAACGAGAATTCTTAAAGGACAGCTCTCCTTCACTGATGGCTATAATGACCTTGGAGGTCTTGTTCTTTATAATTTGCTTTGAGGTTACATTGCCTTCATTTTATATGCATTGACTATTATTTTTCCTAATATATACCAAATGAAAGCTGATCAATTGAAGGTTTTTGCAATTAGTGAATTCAGATGCAGTTGTTACTAATTTATAGAGGAAGATATGGCCCACTTATAAGCAAATTGAAGCAGGTTTATTTCTCATTTTTAACAGATGTTTGTTACACTTTTATGTAAATTATCTATAGTCCCTCAGCTCCTGACAAAGAACAACGTATAATCTTTATGGTCACAATTTCAGGCACTTTTATAAACTGTTAAGGATAGATTTTCACTGATTTACAGCCACTGCAACACCATTTGACTTTCTGGGTTCACACCAGGTGCAAGTCAGCACAAAATTTTGCCTCCTAGGCCATGTCCATATATTCAGGTACATGCAGTTTGTGATGTCACAAACATCTTTGTGACACCACAAACTACACATGTTGCATGTTAAATCATGCAAGGCACTGCTAATTTGTAGCGTGGGGGCAAAATTTGCTACCAGGATTTCCCAGTAGCAAAAAAACAAACAAACAAACAAAAACAGAAGAAACCGTGGGCCAAAGCACATGAAAATAGCATGCACCAGGACAGGCATGAAGATGGGAGAGCAGGCAGCCTGCTCCCCCATCTTGAGTCGCTGTGGCACATGGGGCACACGAGGGCTCCACAGCATGTGGAGACAGGGGAACAGGCAGCCTTGTTCTAGGGAGCTGGGCATGGCCCGCAACAAAAGGCACATGTAGGGGTGTGCACTGTGGCACAAGTTTGTGCCACTACCATTTATGCCACTGCAAGCATACACCCCTGCTTGTTTGCATGCAGTTCTAGCATGTATTCATGGAGACTGAGGTCATATTTCAGTAGCTCCTCCCTTCAGCAAAGTAGTTAAATAAATATAAGTTTAAGTGTTGTGTCAAAACTGGAAGGACTTAGCCACGTGTTTAAACTGAAATGAATTGATATGCTAGGCACCTAAAGCCAAAGTTTACATCCTCCAAACTCCATCTCATCTGCCACCTAATTTCAGAAGTGCTTAAATCCTATGGGTGTCTAAGATTTTTATATTAAAGTTCCCCTGACTGATGGACTGTTGCCTGAGTCTCCCTGGACCTCACAGTCTTGGACAGCTTAACATTGATCTCACGCTCAAGCACCATCAGGGTACAGCAACAATCCTCTGCCAAGCTTGCCTGTGTTCTCACAGCAGACTCTGCACATTCCTTCAATAAGTTAGTAAAGAAGGAAATATCCCCCTAAACATTCACACAAGATACATGAGATCTGACTTCAATTCCTTTCTGTGCCTGGGGAACATAGAGCTTGAAGGAGCCTCCTGAGCCATCAAGTCCAGTTCCCAAATTAGAGTCCACCTTTCCCACCTCCCATAAAACACCAAGCTGTAGCTTATCCTAAAATGGAGGCTCAGGACTGAAGATCCTGAGGTGCAGCAAGCACCTCACAATAGCACTGGAAAGGGCAAGGATTCAAACCTCCACCCTGGTTCTTCTCATTTCCTACTGGCTAGCTTAGGTGACTTATTATCGCGTTGAGTTTTGTAGATGCCACACTCCTTTCCCTTGTACATTGTACTGGAAACCCAGGGTCAACCTCAAGGCAGTATTCTGCTGTTGGGCCCAACTACTTAAAAATTAGGCAGTGTCATGCCAAATGTCACAGTACCAGAATTCCTTGGGGGCTTGGGCCTCTAGTTTTCTTACACTGCATTCTTCCCTCAAGACATAGCTTCCTCATAGTACTGGAGCAAGGACAGAAGAGAAACATTTCTCTCAACTCAGTGAGATGTACTCATTTACAAATGAGCAATTGTTGATGGAGTGATGGAATTTTCACTTCAGAGACCTATTACAACTTCTCCTTTTGCTTTTATGATTTCAAAGGTTAAGACTACAGACAGTTCACATAGTAAGAGAGAAAGTACAAGTGATAGCAGTATAAAGGTGTTCCTTTTTGGTAAGTAATCTATCTACATGATTATAAAACTATTGTGTTGGAAGAGCTGTAGAATTTGCTGCTGCAAATTTCTTTTTCTATTTTAGTCATGACATGATTTCATCTGATTGAATTTTGCTGTATGTGATGTTGTATTGCATCTGTGCACATTAAAAATCCCTCCTGGATACTCATTTATTTATTGAAATAATTATAAAAAATGTAAAATACATTGTAGATAGGGCATATACTTTCATAACACCTATATAAAAGTTGGAGTTATTTTCACCAAAACATTAGTTGAAGGAATGAAGACATTTTATTTTGATTTGAATTAAGGGAGGCCAAAATTATTTGGATTCAATAAGAACAGATATGAAATTTTATCCCAAACTAATACAGAAACTGCGTCCACATATTTTTGTTTGTCCCCCTCCCCCTGCCTTCACACTTTTTGCTTTATTTCTTTTGGATTTTGATAGTACTTTGTTGTAATGGAAAACAGATGTAAGAAAGATGTCACTGTCCATGCAGGTGGTACACAAATGTGCTAAAAACAACTCAGAATAAATCTTACTTTAATGGGATTTCTTGCCTTTGTTATTTAACAAGGAGATTCAGCTGTCTCTGATAAAGCTTTGTGGTGGGAAACACACAAACTTGGATGCATATTTCAAACATCTTTGGTGTGTTTTGAGATTTCTTGATTGTTAAGTTACATCTCACTCAAATGCCCAATTTTGCTCTTCTCTTTCTTTGGTTTGATGACATTTTGCCAGACCTTTGTAGGAATTTCCATTGTAAAAGAGGAAAGGTCTGTCATGCAGATGAACAAGGAAAACTCAGCTGTGTTTGCCAAGATCCTGCTGCTTGCCCTCCAACTAAAGATTATGAGCATGTAAGTATTCCACTGACAGGAAGAACTAACTACAATACTTGGTACTCCATTAGTTAGAGCAATTCTTCACTAAGAAGAATGTGAATGGCTCCCACTGATTTTGATAATTGGACACCCAAGAGTTGAAATTACCAGAATTGTCACAGATGGCTGATTGAAATTCTTAATGTAATTTTTCCCCTAATTTACATTACAAAAAAATAAAGTACAGTCTCTTTTAAAATTCTACAGAAAATCCAACCATTACATCAATTTGTCTCTGATATTTTAGCAGACCCATGCACTTACACATGTAGGACACTGTTCAGCATGGTTTCCCACTAGGCTGCTATGGGATTACTATAGCAATAGTATTTTGTTACAGTAAATTATATTTAAGATTTCAAAAATGCCTAAAGTTAGGCCCCAAAATCTATATTTACACCCCCTGAACAAGGATTATTTTCAGAAATTCTAAACACTTGCAGGTCGATGGCCTATTTTATTTCATGCTCCTTCTGTGGCACATGCACAATAGCAATCTAACAGTATTACTGAATAGATTTTTCTCTCCTTACCTAGATTTGTGGCACTGATAATAAGACCTACGAGGGTACATGCCAGCTCTTTGGCATGAAATGCCAACTTGAAGGGACAAAAATGGGACATCAGCTGCACCTAGACTATATTGGATCCTGCAAATGTAAGACTGTGCTTATTTTTATGCATGTAATCCACCTCTATAAAATGCCTATCACCTTAATAACCAATCACAGTTATAAGATCCCTCCCTTCCCCATTACTTCTGTATATGTTACCCTCCAGTTAGAAATAAGCTCACAATCCTAGACTCAAAAGTCCTCAGAGAGATCTCTTTCTATAATTATATTACATAAAATGCCCAAATCCAATAATTTGACCTTTGTGAAGAATCATTTGTCTGCCACCTGGCCTGGTTCTATCACCTTCCTTGTAACTTTTTTTGGTGGGGGAGATGCTACCATCCTCTATTATCAATCTTAAATATTTATCTCCTCACAATATCTCTGAGAGGTAGCAGATCATTACCTTTACCATTACCATTTTATAGTTGGGAGTTGGGACCCTGGGGCACAAAGAGCTGAATGCTGGAAAGAACTTAGGCAGTATAACAGCATGCTTGGGCATCATCAGTTGAACTTCTGACTGTTCAGTTAGGGGGGTCCCCTCACCCTCTACCCAGAGCAAGTTCCCCAGTCTCTTACTTGGACATTGTTCCCCCAAGGAATGCCTTCCCTTCTCTCAAATCACTGTAGCCAGCTGGCTAGTTGCTGTCTGCCAGCTATCTCCCTTTTATTCTCCTCCCTCTCCACTTAGCATTGGTTGCAGAGATAGCAGGGAGGACCTGGCCTGGGCCAGAGGTTCTTTTTAACCCCTTTTTCACCATGGGCAGCATCCTGCCCATAGGTGATTGGTAGGGGGTGCACGGGGCTGCACGTGCCCCCCCTGACAGGGCCGGTCTCCCCCGCCCCCTCCCCAACAGTTGACACGGACACTGTAGGCAGGGCTGGTGCTCTCCCTGACAGGGCTGCCACTGTCAGCAGCTTCTGCGGGTGTCCCCCAAGATTCAGGAGGCACCAGTCTCTCATGATCCTGCCTCACCACAAGTGCCTAAAGCAGGACTTGTGTGGAATGTAGGTGCCTAAGTTCAAAACTACAGTGTAAAAAAGCAGTAGCTCCCTATCTTAAATATGTCTAAATCTGGCAGGTGCCCCCACATTTGACTGTGCATGACCAGGACTGACCCAGGCTGAGCAGCTGTTCCACCTAAATTCGATCCAGAAATGGGGTATCCTTCTGACTTAGTACACTGACCTGTGATCACCCCTCATGAGCAGAATTGAGACCTTTACAAAATGAAGTTGTAGTCATTCTTTTTAGAGGTGGAGCTGGTGCCGAATCTCACATGTTATATACTCACTGGATGGCTAAAGCACTCACTTGGGGAGTAGAAGACCTGAGTTCAGTTTACTTCTCAGCTTTAAAGTAGTCAAATACAGTTCTCCCACCTTCTAAAAGAGTGCCTAAGCCACCCCTCACTGAAGCTGTGCCACTCTGCAGCAATGAGTTCAAAACTCCTGAGGGCCATCAAAGGTGAGTGAACACAAGGAAGTATAACTTTTCAATGGTTAGGGCACTCATCTGGGAGGCAAAAGTTCTACTTTCTGATCCATGCTCCTAGAACTATTTCTGTATGTTACTTTAAGCCAGGGGTGGGCAAAATGCAGCCCACAGGCCGCATCCACCCTGCTAGGCCATTCTATCTGGCCTGCGAGGCCCCTAAAAAATTTAGAAAATTAATATTTATCTGCCCCCAGCTGAGTGTCAAAGATGATAGCAGCCAGGGGCCGTAAGACCCAGGGGAAGCCAGGGCAGGCTTCTGCAATAGCAGGGCCCACCCAGCCCCACTCCCCCAAAACTGGAAGCCCCTGCCTAGCAAGGGCTTCTGGCTTGGGACCATGGGGCTGTTCATGCCTCCCTGCCCTGAGCAGGAAATTCAGGTAAGAAGATTGGGGGAGGAGGGGGGGGGCAGGCAGGAAAGTGGTG